GCAGGCCCGTGGGTCGTGACGCCGGCAGGGGCGCCCAGAGGGCCCCGCAGGGCCGAGGCTGAATGCCACGCGTGGCCTCGCGGTTCATCAAGGGGGGAGAGGGGGGGGGTCTGTCTTACCTCAAAGTGTCGGCGGCCGTGGCTCCAAGTGCAGTACTCATTGACGGCTGAGTCGACCTACGCTAACCCAGGGCCGGTTCGGAGATATCACTCGCCATCGATGTCAGCCGTGGCAAGGCACCGAACTCGGATCGCCGGGTTCGGAGCGCAGCGCGCGAACCACAGCGCTGCCGCGACGTGCCATGGCATCGTCGCACGTCCACGAGTGGCCAAACATCCCGCGTGACTCTCCAGTCGCCTGAGTGAAACGTGGGCTAACTTGTGCCCAATCCCGGCCAGCCGCCTAAATAAACTTCATCAAAGAAGACGGCGGACACGACGTGGGGAGGGAGGCCGTCATCCAGCAGTGGATTGAGAAATGGCGTCATCGATAATAAAATGACGTCGGTCTCCTCTCATCCACGTTCACAGTGGCTACTCGTCCTTCGGCAAGAGTTTGCGGTCGTATGTTGCGGTGCAAAGCTTTGGGGTTGGCACGCATTGAAACGCCAGCGCTGCCGCTGCAGCCACCGCTGCGTCTTATTGATGTGCCGGGTGTATTGGACGCGCTGCTGCTGCTGCTGGACACCGCGGTTCGCTCGTGTCTCTGCGACGCTGTTCGTGTTGAAGCGGCTGTGGGCAGCGCTGGTGGAGCGGTGCGCGCTGCGCTGCGAACCCGGCCACCCGAGTTCGATTCCCGCTCACGGCCAACACCAGTGACGATGATCTGAACCGGTTCTGGGCCTCCTCCCCTAGGTCGACTCAGCCTCAAACGAGTACCTTTGTGCGGTATGTACACATGGCGAATGGGGAGACAAAGGCGGTCGGGCGTGGTGCTGGCCACCCACCCCCTCGTGTGTCGTGCCGGCCTTCATGGGTGCTTCCTAACAGCACTTACCCTCAACAGTCTGAGCCTATACGGGGTACCTTTGCCTTTGTCGGTAGCGTCTTTGGTGAAATGCTGTTCACGTTGAAGCGGCGGAGCCCCCTCCCCCCATTCAAGGGCGCCTCGTCTGCACGGGAGACCCGGCGAAGCTGAGATCGCAGCAGCAGCAGCAGCAGCGGCGGTCAACGCGAATGCGCGGATACAATTTTATTGAGGACACTCCGTGGAAAGCTACTGCCCTGCCCACGGTGGCCATCGCACTGGGTTCGCCTGTCCGATCCCGCGGCGCGGCAGTTGAATCCCTCCGGGCCTCCGTTCCATCCGGCAGTCTTAAGATGGGTGGCGACGCCGCCAAGCAAAGCCGCCTCTGGTGGGGCAAAAGCGTGGCTTGTCTCCATGCCGAGAACCAGTAGCCACAAGTGCCGTCTGACAGGGGCTCCTCGAGAGCTCCCTCCCGCGGAGGGCCCTTTTCCCGCCGGCAGTGGCGAGGGCCGAGCGGTTGCGGGGCCGCGCCTGTGGCGAGCGCGCGGGGTGCCAAGCGGCGAGGTGACCCCGTGCGCTGACCTCGCCGAGCGCTCTGGCGGGCACCGCTCACGCTGCGCCGCGCGCATTCTAATGACATAATTAGCCCGCGTAGGAGGCGATTTTAATTTTATTTCAAGCATTAAAATCAATCAGGACCCTTAATTTAACTGTAATGGCCGAGGTTCGCTGTAGCAGGCAGGGCCCCGACGGGAAGCGCCGGCTGCCTCAGAGGCGCGAGGGAAGCAGTTCGACCCCTGCAGTCCCACTCAGCGGAGCAGGGCGGCAGGCTGCGGCAGGAGGCCGCCTGAGC